AAGCTGAGAATTGGACATTACAGTGAGCCAAGATGGTGCCACTGCATTCCAGCCTGGACGACAGAGCAAGACTCTGTCATACATACATACATACATACATACATAAAATGAATGTATGTTCATTTATCTCTCTTGCTTTCATTTCCAAAGAAATTATTTGGCAAAATGTTAACATTACAAACATAGAGTTTAAATATTCACCCTTCTTTTGGCCTGCACAGACGAGGTCACTTTGTCTCCTCTGAAAATTGGTGCACCATAGAGTACAGGGAGGAGTGCAGAGTGGGCTGTTTACACATCCTATCAGAGTGGGTGCTTTCTACATCCTATCAGAGTGGTCGCTCTATACATCCTATCAGAGTGGGTGCTTTCTACATCCTATCAGAGTGGGCTGTTTACACATCCTATCAGAGTAGGCGCTTTATACATCCTATCAAAGTGAGCTGTTTATACATCCTATCAGAGTGGGCTCTTTATACATCCTATCAGAGTGGGCGCTTTATACATCCTATCAGAGTGGGTGCTTTACACATTGTATCAGAGTGGGCGCTTTATACATCCTATCAGAGTGGGCGCTTTATACATCCTATCAGAGTGGGCTGTTTATATATCCTACCTTGCCTTACCTGAGTGGATCCCAGCACAGATTTTCAACTGGACGTTGGGCTTATTTGGAATCTTGAAGGTTTTGCACACAGGTACTAGGTCCAAGGCCATGCTATTTCTCTAGCATGGAGGATTCCATTGGCCTTGGGCACCCCAGATGCCACCCTATTTGAAAATATATGAGGGCTGGGCGCAGTGGCTCACGCCTGTAATCCAAGCACTTCGGGAGGCCGAGGCAGGTGGATCAAGAGGTCAAGAGATCGAGACCATCCTGGTCAACATGGTGAAACCCCGTCTCTACTAAAAATACAAAAATTAGCTGGGCATGGTGGCGCGTGCCTATAATCCCAGCTAGTCAGAGGCTGAGGCAGGAGAATTGCCTGAACCCAGGAGGCGGAGGTTGCAGTGAGCCGAGATCACGCCATTGCACTCCAGCCTGGGTAACAAGAGCGAATCTCCGTCTCAAAAAAAAAAAGAAAATACATGAAAAAATGGCATACTTAATGAACTAAACCAAACTGTAATTTTTTTTTAAGGCTGCTGGCAAGGGTTTTCTATCCAAACCTTTACCTGGATCTTCCCTGGCAGCTTGGAAAGCTTATTTAGGGCAGAGCATTCAAAAAACATCTCAAGGAGAGAGCAATAGTCACTACAAGGTGGGGTGCTCTGGATATGAACTGATCCAATAAACATTTCTGGTCAATGAAGTAAACAGACTGCCTCTTGACAACTATTAGTATTTCTTATGTTCAAGCAACATTGATTTCCTTGTCTTTCTGAAAGAAACTTGTTCTTAATACTCAGTCTCAAGACAAACAAGAGAAACAGTTTGAGAGCAGCCAGCCATGTTTGAGTCCATTTCTTATAGTTCTTTCATACTGAGAATAGGAACTCTGGCCAGAGCTATCGAGGGCCACAAGAAATAATAACATGATGTCTTGAAAGTTAGTTATTTGACTTCCACAAGATTTAGTGCAATGAGAGAGGTACTTATGGAATAGCAGTCCAATCGCATGCAAGAGTCAAAGGACTTCCAGAGATTTGGAAAATTCATAAAGATCGAGTCTTGGCCTCAGTGCTCCAAGCTATGAACAAAATTCCTAGCTCTAAGCTGAATGATGTGTCTTGAAAAAACTGGCCTTCTTTAAAGATGCATGACAAAAATCTTAGAAACTTGAAACTATAATTTTTTTTTTTTTTTTTTTGAGACAGAGTTTCACTCTTGTTACCCAGGCTGGAGTGCAATGGCGCAATCTCGGCTCACCACAACCTCCACCTCCTGGGCCCAGGCAATTCTCCTGCCTCAGCCTCCTGAGTAGCTGGGATTATAGGTACACGCCACAATGCCCAGCTAATTTTTTTGTATTTTTAGTAGAGACAGGGTTTCACCATGTTGACCAGGATGGTCTCGATCTCTTGACCTCATGATCCACCCGCCTCGGCCTCCCAAAGTGCTGGGATTACAGGTGTGAGCCACTGCGCCCGGCTGAAACTATAATTTGTAAGAGATTCCCGAGAGTGGAGATACAGCAAGTTAGAGGTTTCTGCAAGAGATGAGACTAGAAAGAGCAGAAAAGGTTAACAGAGCAATAATAGCAGGATCAGAACACTGCTGAATCATAGTGTGCATTGGAACAATAAAGAAAAAAACTCAGATGCCCAGACACTAACCTTGACTGTATGAACGTTGGAATAGCTGATTGTTTGGGAGTTTAATTGAAATTATGATGCTGAATGACATCTTCAACCTTTTCTGACACTGTTGCTTAAATGAGTGGGTAGAGACTCCCTGTTCAGCACATTCCATCTATTTCTGCTTCAATGCTGAAGGGGCTGCTTCCATCCACCATCCAGCAGACACACGTGCATGTGCACACGCATATACAAACACACATACACAGTTCTTATGACAATTGAGGCATGAACATTGAAGCCATGTCTGAATTGAGCTAGTAATTCAGACAGTTGGTAAAGGTGTTTTGTTTTGGTGGGGGTGAGGGAACTTGTTTGTCTACCCAGCAGTAGCAAAAACTCATCTTTCTATGCTGCAGACAGTGGTCCTACCTAACTGAGTGCTCAATCCTGGGATCTTGGGATACTAAAATAAGGCATCAATTATTTCTCAAAAGAGCTCCCTGGATGAGATTTACCCAGCTCTTCTAGGTTCTAACCCACAAGTGATCACAGTAAAAATAACTGCCAAGGCAGTCTCACTCAGTGTATTGGTTTCAGGGGAACATTTTTTGACCTCTTGGGGACCACATATGTCAATGCACCACTTGTTTTCATTCCCAAACATTCTGAAGGCCAATTTGAATTTTATTATTTTAGGGTCTAATAATTCACTTAGATAGTGACATATCTAAATTAAAGCCCAAATCATCAGAAAGAGTAAAATACACCCAACAAAGATGCCAAATTTACAATCACAAAGAAACAGTTCAGTTCATGTCAAGAGATTAATCGAATGCCTTAGACACAAGGAAAATTATCATCAATAATAAGCATTTTCTAAGCAATTACTTTGTGGTGGACACCTAGGCTCAGAAATATAAGGCTCAGAGAAGTCTCTGAATACCAGCCACATTGCAAAGCCACACAAGACATACACCAACTATTTAAGAAAGTGAGTGATTAGAAAAGCTTTGGGCAAAGTTTCTAAGGATAAGTAAGATTTAAGCTGAGTCTCAGGGAAAGTGAAGTACTTATGCATTTTAGAAGTAAAGGGAGAAGTATTACAGGTTTAAAAAAAAAAAGACATGGTATGGGACTGTAAGTATTACCTTGTTTGGCAATAGATGTCCTATAGAAGAGCAATGGGAAATAAAGTTGTGTAGTAAAGAATTAACCAAAGAGAAGTCTGGTTTTTGCCCTCAGATATTGGGAGTTGGTTCCTGGGCCCCAACGATGCCCTGCCTGAGTCTTTGTTGCTGGGGAGCTTTGGCTACTGATAGCCTAGCAATGTGATTTGTGATTGTGGCCTTAGGGCCATGCAGTGTCATTTACGACCTCTGGAGGAACGACTAAAGATATTAGCTTGATCGCCAATCTCCAGAAGTGGCTGGAAACTAAAGGTCAGCCACTCAGGGAGGATGTGATCAAGCCCCAATGAAAACTCTGAACACCAGAGGCTGAAGTGATCTTTCACAGCTGGCAACACTTTGTGTGTCTTGTTGCACATGGTGACCAGGAGGAAGCAGTGTTGTCCATGACTCGATAGGGAGAAAATGACTGGCAGCTGGCACTAGACCCCTTCTGGACTCTGTCTCCTCTTTTAGCTGATTTTAATTTGTATCCTTTTACTGTAACAAAACTATGATCAGAAGTATAGCAATTCCTTGAGTTCTGGGAGTCATTCTAGTAAATTATTGAACTTGAGGGTGGTTGTGGGAGTCCCCAGATTTGTAGCCAGCTATTCTGAAATAAGGATGGTCCTGGGCATCACCAAACTTGCAGCTGATGTCAGAAGTGAGGGAAGTCACGTGACGACTGTTCCCTCAAACTGTACAGTTGTCTTAACTCATCGCAAAGGCTGAAGAAGTTAGTTATGTGGGGCATTGAATGCAAGCCTGAAGAGTCTGGATATGATGACATAGACAGTTATATTCTTGAGCAAGAGAACAAGATAAGCAAAGTATAGCTTCATCTTATAACAATGTAAGAGACAGGATGCTTAGAGGACTGTGTTTTGTCCAGATGTGGGAAGATGAAGGTCTGAACCAGCCCTGAGGCAGAAAAGGAAAGGTTGTATAAATAATAACATTGACTGAGCATATGCCATGCCAGGCATCCTAAGCGCTCCATATGCTTTTAATCCTTCAAATAATCTTATATGGCCAGCAACATTATCCTCTCCATTTTACAGACAAAAAAAACTGAAACACAAAGAGACTAACTAATTTGCCCAAAATCATCCAGCAGGAAGTGGCACCGTGAGATTTGAACCCAGCTAGAATCTAACTCATAACCATTCTTTTACACAAGAAGACACCCGTGGTGAAAGGATAAACAGGATTTGTTAGGTGGCCATCTGGATAAAAGATGAAAAAGCCAGAAAGAGGACAGGACAACTCTGCATTTATTAGCTATGTGACCTTGGGCAAGTACTGAACCTTGGCATTCCATCTGGGAAATGGGGATTATAATAATATCTGGGTTATAGAAATGTTGTGAAGATATTTACTATAATCAAATAATCTATGTCAAGCCCTTAGTACAATGCCTGATATATGACTATGTACTTGATACATGATGGTTTTAGTGTTAGTTTTCATGCAATGACATAAGATAGAACTTAGCCCTAAAATCACCATTCCAGATAATTCCATCGGCAAAACTCGGAGGTGAAAATTAATTTTTCAGTCATTATTAATAAAGACACGAGAAAAGCTTACCGTGCTTTAAAACCGTCCTTGATGCAAGTATACCATTATGTTATTCTACTGTGCGAGGCATTGTTGTCCAGTGCTGTGATAATACACACCAGAAGCTTCACATGATGTGTGACAAAACTGTGCAGCAGCAATAAAACAGATAACATTAAAGGATGAAGATTCAGCATCACTTCAGATTTCCACCAAAACACAAGTTAATCAGCACATCCATAAAGCATAACAAATCAGAACTTCAGTTACAATCAAGTCCTAAATGTCTAAGTACTTAATCTGTTTTTCCTCAACTCCAAGCAAAATGTAATTCAAATTTAGCCAAAAGATTATCTCAATTTTCTCTTTTTTTTCCTTCAGCGGTGGCCATGAGAGATAGTGTTGTGACCCTCACATGCATTTCTGTATAATGAGCTTGGCTTTGGAGAATAAAGGGAAATCCTTTAAATCTGAGAGCTATTGAAAATCAGAATCCCTGCTCGCTATGTAGTGAGTGCCCTGTATTCATCCATTAATTGTTAGATATATTAAAAGTTGTTATCTTTGCTGGGAGCAGGTTTGGGTCTGAACACCTGTTCAATGGTTCTGAATTAGAGGCAAGGGGAAGAAAAGCCCAGAGACAAAAGTAAAATGCAAAGCAAATGTGGTTTAATTACACTGTCATGTATGATAGCAACTTTAATTTCATGATGCAGTGTTTCATGGTAATGAAAGGAAACATAAGGAATTGTAGGAGCACAATAGTTTCATCAACATTAACCTCATAATGCAGTATTTTTCAGTAATGAATAGAAAGAAAAGGAACTGTGTGGGTTGCAGTGACTCATGCAGCAATCTTCATGAGCAGCAGGTGGAGTAATGAAGGTGATGGGAGTAGCATCATCTCCTCTTCAACATGTTTATTGATCTCAGATCTTCTGTGTGTTACTACACTATACCCTGAAGACAGAGATCCCATCCATCACATTCAGTCTCATGTCCTTTAGCGCTCCAGTGCCAACACAGTGCCTGGCATAAACAGGGTTCTCAATCACTGTGCATTGAAAAAATGAATTGTAAATACTTTTCTTCTTTTCTTTTTTTTTTTTTTTTTTTAACTCACAGGTACTGTTTGTTACAGTGAAAGGATACAGATTAGAAGCAGCTAGGAAAAAGGTGCACATAGCACAGTCCAGCACCAAGGAGGTAGGCACAGGCTTCCAGTTGTACACCACATGACTGACCTTAAACACTCAGTCTCCAGACAGCTGTCCACCACCCCCAGAGGTCAAAGTGACACCATCTGACCCAAAGCCCAGGCATACGTAAACAGGTATTCACCATAAAGCACGTTAATAGCATCTGGTGTGACCCAAAGCTTCAGGTTTACAAAGGCACTCATATCACACAGAATATTACAAGGGCTCAGAGGTTATCTCCAGGAGCTGCCAGGGACTGTCCTGAAGCCCTTTGGAATACGCAGGGTTTGGGCAACCCAGGCTGCTGAGTTAATACTTTACTGCACAGTTCTTCTTTTCCAAAGTTGTTTTTTTTTTTTCTTGGCCCTATACACTTTTATATAAGTTTTATATTTAACTATTTTCAATGAAATATCCTGCTGGTATTTATATTTGAATTGCATTTATTTAATTATTAAATATCTTCATAATATTTAGACCTGTGATACAAAAGCTTTGTCTATCTTCTCATTCATTTTTAGTTTATTTTCTATTTGAAAGACAATGCTACATTTTCTTCTGCATAAAAATTTTGCATATCTATGTTAGATTTCATTTTAGGTATGTTGCTTTTTGTGAGAACTGTAAAGTCCTTACTTTATTTTTTTTAATTCAGGATATTTGCATCCCTCTCCATCAATGATCTTGGACTATAATGCTTTGTTTCCACATATTTTTATTTACTTATTTCTAGTTCTTATTCTATTCTTTAGTACAGATGACATAAGACTAGAAGTATCTGTACCTTGAATAGAATTTATTAGCAACATATCTTTGGCACTTTGTTGAAGTTAATTTTCAAGAGTTGATATAATTCATTTAATTCATGTAGGACCATTAAAGTTTTTTCTCTTCTGTAATTACTTCAGCTGCTATAAACTTTTCTAGGAAACAGGGAACTGCAGTTTGCCATACTGTAGGTTCTCTAATGGACCCGTAATTTGCCAAACATGGCTTCTTCCTGGCTCTCCCTGGCTCTTAGATCTCTCCATTTCTGGAAGAAGTCAGCCACCACCCTGAGAGGACACTCAAGTAGTCCTGGGGCAGGAGGCCAGGTGGGAAGGAAGGGACTTATAAGAACCCACTTCCCAGAAATGGAGAGATCTCCAGTTCAAGTCTTTACATGGCCGCCACCCCAGATAGCTTCCTGAAGCCTCCTGAAAGCTCCCAAACCAGAAACACATATTTGAGCTGCTCCTAAGTACAAGACCCACTCACAAATGAGAGATGATAAAAGATTATTGTTTTTGAAATCACTAAGTAGAGGGGGCAACCTTTTATGAAACAATATATTATTAATACAAATGTTTTCTTATCATTACAAATAAAAATTGTTATTTGACTAATAACCTATAAGGATTTTAATAATAATAACATAGGCAGGTGTTGAACAATGAGAACACATGGACATAGGCAGGGGAACATCACACACTGGGGTCTGTTGGGGGGTGCTGGGGAGGGACAGCGGGGGAATAGGGGAGGGACAGCAGGGAAATATGGGAGGGACAGTGGGGGAATCGGGGAGGGACAGCAGGGGGATAAGGAGGGTGGGAAGGGATAACATGGGGAGAAATGCCAGATATAGGTGACGGGGGATGGAGGCAGCAAACCACCTTGCCATGTATGTACCTATGCAACAATCCTGCATGATCTGTACATGTACCCCAGGACCTAAAGTACAGTTAAGAATAAATAAATAAAAAAAATTAAAAAGCTCTATGTAATCTTGAATTGTAAATACTTTCTAAATCTATTTTCAGTTTGCCTGATGGCTAACAAAACATTTTATTGTTTTCTTCTCAATTTATACAATTAAAAATCAAATCACAATTGGTAATCATTATTGAGATAATAATTTTATCTAAGTATTTGTACTGCATGTCTTTCAAGATTCATTGCCTTTCCTCACTGGCCATGAGGAAAGAAAAAATACCTATGTGAGTAAAAGGCTTGGAAATCATTGGGCTATCTGAAATCTGACCACAAAAATATACATATAAAACCAGTTTGTTTCCCTTATTATTGAAAAAGATGGCTCTCAAATCAAAGCAGTAGACATTTCCTGGGGCCCAACAATGAGAAAAGCCATGGGCACAATTGAGGCTACTAAGTTTGCTTTCTAAGAGCTTAGGACTTAGAAAAGTTAGAATATTTATATAAATGGTTACTTTCCATTAATTCTCAGCTTTGTTTCCACTAAAAATTAATACTATTCCATCTCTAAAAAATTCCTGTAAGGCCGGTTGCCTCGGGGGGGCAAAATGGACACACCCATTCCTCTCCATACCTGAAAACTACGTCATCATTCTGAGAGCATTACTCAGCATCTGGCCTCTCCACGCGGGCTCCCCACACCCATTTCCGCCTTCCAATCTCAGTCCTGCACTTATTAGCAAACTAGGCACTTGGCCCTGCTAAAATTTAAAAATTCCGCCAAGACCTGCCCTATGGCAGCTTGCCCCGTACGTCCTCAGCCAGCCCACTTGCCAGCAGCCCCGCCTGACTGCCAATGGCGGCTCGCCTCGTCCGTGCCCGGTCCCTTCATAACCAATGAGACTACCTCCGCTTTGTTTCCCCCGCAGCCAATCAACGACCTCCACTCCCTATACAACGCCGCGCCCTAAGAAGAGAAGGGAAGTGCGACTTCTCTGGCCCCTTTCCCGGACCATAGAACCTCGCCCAGGAGCTGAATAAATTGGCTTTTACCTTTTTACTCTGGTCTCCGTTTCCTCATTTAACTCGGCAATAAACCTTACAATACCCACCCATACATCGACAGTCACTCACATGTACTTCCTATTGTCTCTATGTTGTAGACATCATAATGGTATATAATTTTCCCAAAGGTAGTGTAGAGCTTGTCCAGGAAGTCCACTACCTGATACAGGGTGCTGGTGGGAAAAGCTACCGGAAGCCCACCGTGTCACTGCAAAGGAGCAAGGAGGTAGAAAAAAAGTAAAATCAGGCAAAATAATTGGCAAGACCTAATTAAGCAGTGGTACTTCCTTGTTTGGCACTGTTTTTTAAAACTCTCAGAAATCTGAGCCAGGGAGACAAGAGTGTCATGAGTCAGTTAATTGCTTTACAAAATATCCTTAGTTGTTTGTAACATGTTTGGTTGGGATTTTGTTTGGGTTTGCTTTTGGTATTTGTGTGTTGGTTTTGTTTGTTTGGGTTTTGCTCAGCTTCCTTTTAGACAGTGTTGGCATATTCAAAGCTGGGGAAGCTGGGTGCCTGAGAGCTCTATCCCCGAACATCTGGACTCCCCCGTCTGTTGATCAAGTGAGTGAGTTTATATAACAAGAGATTTACATGGATTGAGACAGCTGTGCAAACTCATTTGGAGAAGTCCCAGGTCAAGGTTAATTTGCTTCCCAGTTATGCTGATTCCTGCCTATATTCTAGATTTTTTTTTTTTTTTTTTTTTTTGAGACATTGTCTGTCTCTGTCATCCAGGCTGGAGTGCAGTGACTCAATTGTAGCTCACTGTGACCTTGAACTCCTGGGCTCAAGTGATCCTCCCACCTCAGTCTCCTGAGTAGATAGGACTACAGGCACTTGCCACCATGCCTGTCTAATTTTTTGTATTTTTTGTAGAGACAGGTTATCTCTCTGTTTCCCTGGCTGGTATTGAACTCCTAGCTTCAAGTGATCCTCCCATGACGGCCTTCCAGATCTTTTATTTTTTGGTTGTTAGTGGTGCTTCCTCATCTTCAGATAGATTTCTTTGAGGTTATACTAGCCTCTGCTGGATAGAGGCTCTTTTGCCTTTTTCCTCCCAGGAGGGAGTCTCTATCAGTGACATCGCATGGCTTTAAACTCTAAAGAGCCGGTCTTTAAACTCTATGCCTCAGTTTATCCATCTGTAAAACAAGGAAGCTCCCTTGGCCCCCAGTTAGAAACTGACTGCTTTGAGTAACTACAGTAAACTGCAGATTATTTGCAAGGCTTCAACCTCACAGCTTACAACTTCAATATATGGGTTTTTCTCAGAAATTTCAAAACTTTTCCCAGGCAAGGCAGCCCTGGTTCTGCCTCATCACAGATGGGGCCATTTTATGTTTTGTTATGTCAGGGAAGAACTATATGGCCTATTTACTTCAGATTTAAAAATAGAAAATAAAAAACGATATCAAGCAATTTCCTGCTGTTTTTGCTAACCTGCGTGCCCTTTAGCTCTAAGAAATTGATTTAAGTTAAAAAAGAACAATAAAGTGGTGTGGGTAGAGGGACTTAACCAAATCACTCCATCGCATTTTATTAACATGCGTAAGTGGTAAGCTTGCTGCCACTTGAATCAAATGCCTGCATTTTCTTCTTTTGCAGGTATTATTTACTCTCCCCCTACTGCCTGCCATGCACAAACTGTATAATACTGTAGATTGCTCCAAATCTCTGCCTTTTGAGCTGAAATCCTAACGCCAGTCAAGTTAATTTACCTGAAAAGATGGACACACTCAGGTATCTCTGAGCCAAGCAAGGCTGGCCTTGTCTTAGATCATCAGCTACTTGTTTCAGTAGGATGCCTGCTTTCAGGTATGAATCCGAACAATTAATTACCCTTAAGGAAAAGGGCACACGAGGGCCCATTGTCATGCCTGCAGCATCATTTGTTGCCATTGGCACTCTCAGTTGTTCTGTCCTCCATACACGGTAAGTAGGGTGTTGTTTATATGCCTTTTGCCTGGCCATAGTGGATTTGTACCAAGTCAAGTATATTCCCTAACCCAGGTTTCCCTAGGACCAATGTTGAGATGGGGTCAGGGGTGCCGCTAGGTGTGGAGAAAGAAGAGAGTCAATTGGAGGAATGGAAGCTAGGCCTGCAACCCCATTGGGATCAACCTTTACTCATCTAGCACTTTTGGTCATTGAAATTGATGCCTCCCCTATCTTAAAAAATACTTATTATGGGAACCAGGACCTCTCAGGGTACGTTAAGCAGGCTCAGCTTCCACCCTGCAGTGATTTGCAATTTCCTTGTTGTGAGCAGTGGCAGCATTGTTAGTTCAGAGAGCTGGGCTTTTTGCCCTTTTGGGTGGTTGTAGGGCCTTTTGCTCCCAAGAAGTGGCTATTAACTTCCCCATGGGCACGTTTTCCTAAACAGGAAGTGGTGCGGGAACGATTTTACCATGTCCTCCTCTAGTCTTGGGCATTAAAAATCTTAAGTTATTTGAATCGTTAGGCTGTCAGAAGAAAAAAATCAACTAAGATCTCCATTCTGTCTACCGGGTAAAAACAATCAGAGTGATTTACTGGGAACATTTAGGACTCATTTCACTGCAGGAAGCTTGGGACCCCCCTGGAGGGATAAAGGATGAATATTTATTTAATGGTGGAAAAACCTGATTCTGTATTTTTTTTTTCTGTGAAAGAAATAGGGTGATATTTATATATTTCCCTCAGGAATTTCTGTCTCAATAGCATTTTTTGCTATACATATTCATAATATATCCTGGTATGCTAAATACTTATAAATGCAGCATGTTTGGGCTATATTGTTTCATTGTTAATTGAGGAATATAAAATGCAGTCCAATCAGTATTTACAGAGCACTTACCAGGTCCCAAGCACTGGACTAGGCACTGAGGGATGTAAAAATAAACAAAATTTAGTTATGCCACATAAGAATTACATAATCCTGCTAGATAAACAGAAATGTATACAATTAATCACATATGTATACTACTTGAATATGAAAGTCAGGCTTCCCCTGGCCAGGAGAAGGTTTGAAGGGTTACACAGGAAGTATTGACATGTTTTTGCCCAAAGGGGGATATCTTTTATTTCATATAGATTTAGAAAGCTATTCATCTCACCAAAAGGAAGAGATTAACTCATCCAATCTACAAAACAGGACTGGCAAAGACCCCAAAGGCTCATGAAAATGAATCACACTTGGATTAGCTTGGCTTTTCATTCTTGAGCTGCCTTTGGGAATATGGATGAAAACATGCGTCCTCTCCCAGAAAAATGCACATATATACCCAGTCTTGCATGTAATTTCCGGGATTCATGGGCCACTTGAAACTTCTACATGTACTGTCTAGAACACCAAATTTAGATAAGCAGACAAAAGAGCGAAAAATGACATTCTAGCAAACATCAATATTTAGAAGCAAAAAGGCATTTAGAGGTAGTCAAGCAGAGAAGAACCATTGAAACAAACTATGACATTGTCAGAATTGAGTTGGACTATGGAGGCTATTCATCCAGGGCAGCTCTCTGGGTCAGCAGGCACCACTGGTTGATAAAATATCCAAGCCAGTGCAATAAAAGGGATATATTAGTGTATTCTCATTCTGCTAATAAAGACATATCTGAGACTAGGTAATTTATAAAGGAAAGACATTTAATGGACTCACAGGTCCATGTGGCTGGGGAGGCCTCACAATCATGGCAGAAGGCAAGGAGAAGCAAGTCATGTCTTACACGTATGGCAGCAGGCAAAAAGAAATGAGAGCCAAGTGAAAGGGATTTCCCCTTATAAAATCATCGGATTTTGTGAGACTTTTCCACAAGAACAGTATGTGGTAACAAGAACAGTATGGGGAAACCTCCCCCATGATTCAATTGTCTTCTGCTGGGTCCCTCCCACAACATGTGGGAGTTATGGGAGTTACAATTCAAGATGAGATTTGGGTGGGAACACAGCCAAACCATATCAATGGAGAAAAATGTATTTATCAAATACTCCTTTCGAGGGTCTTACCATATATGACTGAAATGGAATACTTGGATAGCCCACTGGGGAAAAAAATGATACCTCTAAAGGACATGCTCTCTAAAGAGTCACAAAGTGCCCTCCTAGGAAGAGAGGTCAGATTAACTACATTGCTTTTGTTTTGCTGAGTAGACTCTGTAGGTTTGGAGCTAAAGCTGAACTGCTTGGGGTAGGGCTGGGGTGGTAGAAGCTGGGAGGCTTTTTTGCCTTTAATCCTACATAGTCAGTACTCATTTCCCTCTCTCCATCATCCTCACCGCCATCATCATGGTCATTATCAACATCATCACTAACACTTGTTCTACTCCAGGCACTGTCTAAACACTACATAGACTAACAATGAATCCTTACAACTCTCCTATGATGTAGATATTATGATGCCCATTTTATAGGTAAGTGAGAGTGCAAGAGATAAAATTTAAACACAGGGAGTCTAAATCTAGAGCCCTCTTTCTTAGCCACAACACAATACTGGTAACATTCAAACTAAAACAGTTTTAAAGAACAGAAAACTTTGGGTCTTCCCAGGTTGCCCAAATGCCTTGATTTTGTTATACCAGACCGAGCATAGAAAGTCAACACCAAGACAAAAGTATGCCAAATTGCAGGGTTTATTGCCGGCGACCACGGAGGACTCACGTCTCTCCAACCCATGGCAGAGAAAGAAGGGTGACAAGACCTTTTTATACCCGTAAAACCACCCTGGGAGTGGGGGTGAGGAGCGGGGATGGGGATGAAGGGCTTCAGACATTTCGAGGGCTAGTGGATACTGTAACTCATCTCCTGGGCCCAGAAGAGGGTGAGGGGGCGGCTCCGGACATTCCAAGGGCCAGGAGACTTTTGTCATTCCAATTGTTACTTAAGTGGTTTACAGAAGTCAAGATAAACATTAGTTTATACATTGTCTGAGCAGGATTAGAATCCACAGATCTTTAGTTACTTATTTGAGTCAAGTTGCAGGAGCCAGGATGGAATTAACTTGGGCTGCTTATTCTGGTTATTACCGGTAAGTAAAGGCTAGCAACTCTGGCAGTTACCGATAAGAGAAGGTAAGCAGTTCTACCTCTTTGCATTCTGCAAAGTAAACTAGCAGTCTTATTTACAGAAGCCAAGGTTAGCAGTCATTGTGAGGAGAATGGGGTAACTTATTTTTTGGAAAACAGCTTTTGTCTTTTATAAAATGGCGTTGCTCAGGTTCCAGCTATAGCACAATTTGAACCCATATGTTTTAGACCTTCCTTGAGTCAGAAAAGATAGAGGAAAAACAAAAGAGCATTGTGTCCTAGAAGCCAAGGGACGAAAAGCAAAGAGTGAAAACTTTCACAGGTTTTAGAGACGTGACCCAGGGTGAGGACTGAAAAGTAACCGTTGGGACAGTTTCTGTAGAGTGGTGAGGGTGCAGATTGCAAAGGGTTGAGGAGCAAATGAGAAGCAGAGAAGAATCATTGTATAGATACTACTTTTTCAAATTCTTTAGACAAGAGGTTAGAAAACAAATTTACTTTGGGATGAGGAAGTTCAAGTTAAACCCCCCTACCAGCTGGCCATGGTGGTGGCTCACACCTGTAATCCCTATAAAGCACATTGGGAGGCTGAGATGGGAAGATTGCTTGAAGCCAGGAGTTCAAGGCTACAGTAAACTATGGTTGTGTCACTGTACTCCAGCCCGGGTGGCAGAGTGAGACATCACCTCTAAAAAAATTAATTAATTAATTAAACCTCCCTGCCCTGCTCTTTCATAGGATAACTCACATTTGTGGCACTCCTATTAAAAACTAGGCACTAATTGCTTCTTGGCCTTTTGGCTAAGATCAAGTTTAAAAACTAGGTGCTAAGTTTCTTATAGTCATTATCTCATTTAATTTTCACAATAGACTCTTTGGGGTTATTTCCCACATTTTATCAGATGAAAATAAGGAGGCTCAAAGGGATTTAGTCACACAGCCAAGAAAGTGGCAGAAGGCAACTCTGAACTCAGGATGGGCTGGTTCTGAAGCTCCTGAGATTTCACTTAATTAAAAGAAAGGAAGATTATACATATTAATAAACTGAGTAAATAAAAGAGTAAGAACCAAAGGAGACACTGGGAGTGTGGGGTGCAATGGAGAAAGAAGATAACCGACGGGGCAAGACCCACTAATGTTTTCCCTTCTGCTGGGTCCTTCCTTCAGCTACTGCATCTCCTAAACCTAATAAAAGTCTGTTGACTACTCAAGCTACAGCTTCATCTCTCTACTCCTCTTTAGAGCTAAACTCCTGAGAACAGCCACCCATACTTGCTGTCTCCCTCCACTTCCTCTTGCCATATTGTCCCCTGGACACATGCCAAAGCAGATTTTTTTCTTCTCCACATGCCCCGGAAACTGCTTTTGTTAAGGCCACCAGGGATCTCTCAATTGTCACATGCAGAGGTTGATTTAAGAATCAACTTTACCTTGCTTGGCCAGCCATGGTATTTAACACAGTCGACCACAGTTCACTCACTTCTGCAGGAGACGCTTTCCTCACGTGGCTTCTAGGATACTGTCTAATCCTGATTCCTGCCACCCTGTCACAGTTCCCCCTGTTGGCTTGTCTTCTCTCTCTCCCAGACCTCAACATTGAGGGAACACAGAGCACAGTAGGCAGATCTCTTCTCTTCTGTATCCATAGTCATAGTCCTAGGGAAGCTCATGTGGGCTCATAATTTGAATATACAATCTATCAGTACATGTTGATTACTCTCAAATTTATATACCTAGCCTGGAACCCCTTCTTGGACTTCAAATTTATATAAACAATGCCTAACTGACATCCCCACTTGAATAGCTGATAGTCTTGAAATAACATGTCCTAAGTCTTGATTTTTCTTCCCAAAAGTGACTTATCCCCAAGATTAAAAAATTAATAAACAGTAACTCAATGGCTTAAGCCGAAAATATACAAAGCATCTTTGATTCCTTTCATTCACATTGTACAACCAAGAGCTAATCCAAGAGCAAATGTGATAATATCTAACTCTAAAATAAATCCTTTATTAGATCACTTCTCACTAATTTATTGCCACATCCCTAGTTGAAGCCAGCATTACCCTTCCTATGGACTTAACCTCCTAACTGGGCACTCTGGCTCCACATTTACCTCTCCTACCATCTTCTTTATTCAGCAACTAAAGCATTCATTATAAAATAAGTCAGATCATATTTTCCTTTGCTCAACTCTCCAAGCGCTTCTCACAGCATTCAGAAATCTGCAGTCCTTACTAAGGAGTCCAAAGCCATACTTAAGCTTGTCCCAACTATATCTTATATTTTATCTTCTACTTCTTTAACCCACCATCCCACTCACCAGCCCCCTTGCCGTCCCTCAAACTTGCCAAGCATGTTCTGACCTCTGCTCCCCTGCTCCTCTTCCCCTAGAAGTCACTCACTTCATTTAGGGTTCTGACCACACCATAGAAAACAGCCCCACTCTTTTACTTCTTACATGGCTTTATTCTCTTTGCATTTATCATCGCCTGATGTATCACGTATTTATTTACTAGTCGGTGCCTTTTCTGTCTTCCTCCACTAGACTATCAGCCCTTGTGAACTGCTGTATTGTCTGCCTATTACAATACCTAACATATAGCAGATAATTAGTAAGTATTTGTTCAATGTCTAAATAAAACAAAGAAGGATGAGTTCCAGAACCCAAGTGAAGACATTGGCCTCAGAAAGAGGATGGCACAGCTCTTGTTTGCAGAATAAGAAACGAGGTAGAGATGGACCTTTATTTGGTAAGTTTCATAATCGTTGGAAGTCAGTTTCATACTTTAGAACCTATGAAACATGGTGGTGAAGACATACTTAAAACCTATAAGACGTGGTGGTGAAGCCAGATGATTCGCTGGGAATGAGGAGAGGTGAGATTTAAAAGTGATGTAAGGAAAGCAGTAAAGATTAGTAATGACCATCTTGGCAATTACAGATAGATTAAAAAAAAAATTGCTGAACAGCTATAGTTCTGGTGGCTCAGAAATATCCAATGCCTGGAATGACATATCTGGATCCCAAGATAAATGGAGGCTTAAAACTTCAAGTATGGAAATCATTGGCATATATAGGTGGTGGTGGAAACTGGGAGCTGAACTAAATCAGAAAGTTTGTTTGTTTGTTTTGAGATGGAGTCTTTCTCTGTCACCCAGGCTAGAGTGCAGTGGTGCAAGCTCAGTTCACTGCACTGGGTTCAAGCAATTCTCCTGTCTCAGCCTCCGAAGTAGCTGGGACTACAGGCAAACACCACCATGCCCAGCTAATTTTTGTATTTTTAGTAGAGACTGTGTTTCACCATGTTGGTCAGGCTGGTCTCGAACTCCTGACCTCAAGTGATCCGCCCACCTCAGCCTCCCAAAGTGCTGGGATAACAGACTTGAGCCACTGCACCCAGCCTAAATCAGAGTTTAGAATGAACAAAAAGCATACCAGAAACAGACATCCCAAAAAAACTGTCAATGTACAAGGTGTATGAAAGATACAAAGCTGCTGACAAGACTGAGAAGGAACAAGCTGAGCAGTAGGAGGTGAACCAGGAGAGATGGTGTAGGAAGTGAGAGTTTCAAAAAGAAAACAGAGGTCAGCCATGTCCAGTGCTGGAAAGAGGTCAAAAGAAGAACCAATTATCCCTACTGGTTGCTAACCAATTATGGGTTTGGCAATTACTGTGCTACCAGATGTTTACTAATTTTATTGCATTAAAACAATGCTGAGTTTACTTATTAAACTGCTAGTCAGTAGTTATCCAAGTTGGTTGCACATTAGAATCCACCAGTGAGCTTTTAAAATACTAATGCAGCCAGGCGTGGTGGCTCAAGCCTGTAATCCCGGCACTTTGGGAGGCTGAGGCGGGTGGATCACGAGGTCAAGAGATCGAGACCATCCTGGTCAACATGGTGAAACCCCGTCTCTACTAAAAATACAAAAAAATTAGCTGGGCATGGTGGCGCGTGCCTGTAATCCCAGCTAGTCAGGAGGCTAAGGCAGGAGAATTGCCTGAACCCAGGAGGCGGAGGTTGCAGTGAGCCAGCATTGCGCCATTGCACTCCAGCCTGGGTAACAACAGCGAAACTCTGTCTCAAAAAATAAAATAAAATACTAATGCCTGAATTTTCTCCCCAAATAATGATAGCAGAATATCTGAGAGGTGGGGCATAGGCATTAGTTTATTATAAAAGCCCCCAGAGGATGGTAATGTGCAGCCAGAATTGAGAAATTCTGTGCAAGGAGGAGCTGGGCATTCTGCAATAACACATGAGGAACCTCTATGCCTGGTCCATTCTGGGCAATCCTAGCCCACCCGACAAGATTATAAACCAGGGCAAAGCACAGAAACTTTGGACCTGGAGATAATGGGAACAATCTATTGAGATGCTGGTGGACCTTGCCTAAGTACCTGTGTTAGTCTGTTTTCACACTGCTGTAAAGAAATGCCAAGACTGGGTAATTTATAAATGAACGAGATTTAATTGACTCACAGTTCTGCATGGCTGGAGCGGCCTCAGGAAACTTACAAGCATGGCAGAAGGCAAAGGGAAAACAGACACCTTCTTTACAAGGCAATGAGAGAGAGTGAAGGAAGAAGGAACTGCTACTTTTAAAACTGTCAGTTCTTGTGAGAACTCCCTAATTATTATAAGAACAGGATGGGGGAAACCACCCCCATGTTCCAATCACCTCCCATCAGGTCCCTACCTCCAAAAACAGTGATTACAATTCAAGATGAAATTTGGGTGAGGACCCAGAGCCAAACCAAATCAGCACCTAAGCCTGGGGCTGTGACGGCCACTCTCTCTGCCAGATACCTTTACTGACTTTCTTCCTTGGTTTGGCAGATCATTAAAGCAAAGATCCAGCCAGGCGTGGTGACTCACACCTGTAACCCCAGCATTTTGGGAGGCTGAGGCAGGTGGATCACCTGAGGTCAGGAGTTCGAGACCAGCCTGACCAATATGGAGAAACTCCATCTCTACTACAGAAAATTAGCAGGGCATGGTGGTGCATGCCTGTAATCCCAACTACTCAGGAGGCTGGGGCAGGAAAATTGCTTGAACCCAGGAGGCAAAGGTTGTGGTGAGCCGAGATCATGCCATTGCACTCCAGCCTGGGCAACAAGGGCAAAACTCCATCTCCAAAAAAAAACCAAACAAACAAAAAACAAAGATCCTAGTCAATTCACTTACAAATAATAATAGTAATAGTATCTATTACTCTATTTGTACCAAGCATTTGCTAAGTGTTACATGCATTAACTCATTTAATATGAATGATACTCCTATGGAGTAGATATAGTTTCAAACCCTATTTCATAGGATAAAGAAACTGAAGCGCACAAAGTGACTTGCCCAAGGGTTATGAAGCTAGAAGAAAGCAAAGCTGGGATACTTGTCCAGTTCCAGTTCACTTCAGAACCCAAGCTCTGATCCGTGTCTGTCATAGGTTTTCCTTCCACCACAAGAGTAGGAATCCTCAACCAGCCTGAGCACCTGCCCTGCAGCCTCCAAGGAGGGCTGCTTTCCCAGTTCCACTTCCTCAGAGTCTGGACACTTTCTTGCAAAACTCATGCACAGCTGCCTGAGATCCAGGGCTGATATTAAATTATTTCCTTGGCATTCGAGGTAAAGATTTGTCTTTTACCTTCACCGTTTGACACACACTAACTTCTGCTAAAGGGACTGAGAATTACTGAAGTCCTCATACAAATGGGAACTAACCCTTAAAAATCCATGTAAGCAGAACATAAAATTTTAAAACTAAGATATAAAATTGTCATTGCCATGGCTTCAACAATTAGCTCTCAGAAAAGAACACTTCAGAGAAACAAGTTAAGTAGAAATGTGTGAACTAACCAAATCAGATTTTATTATTGACATTGTAACTTCAATATGGCATTACTTACTACAGAGCAGGTGGTCCGTTTTGTGTTTTTCATGCATGAAGTCATGGGTCCTTTCTGCCACAAATGCTTTCAGGTGTTTGCTGTACCATTAACCACAAAGGGAAAGTACTTCATAGGAACACATTGTTCCCTGTATATTAATCTCTGACTCTTTGAAAGCTCCTAGAAGGCAGGGGAATTTCAGTAGGGAGCTTCTGGGTTTGTAATTATTATCTGCTTGGGACCAGCTGAGTGCTCCCTGTGAGGGGGCATATACCACTGAGCCTTGCCCCAATGCTATGGCAAATCTATACCTGAACAAATGAGGCTCAATCAGCTACTCGTGTACAGTTCATGAGGAAAGCATGAATCCCTTTGTTGGGATTCATTTGGTTTAAAGTTTCTTTACTTGCTGAACCACAGGTCTTTGGTATGAGCTGTTTTTCCTGCACCTCCTAATAAAGTGTAGTGATTAAAAATAGCAATCAAACACTGATTCATCAGTATTCTAAATGGAGTAGCAGAATCGAACAATTTGTAAATCATCTAGTCCCAGGTTTCTCTGTCTCTTTTGACCTTAGTCCCATCAGTGAAGAAAAGTTGGTTGAGCTTTACTTTCAGTAACACCAAAATCAATGTGTATGATTTTTGTTTATTTTACAAATACAAAACTTGATGATAAAATTCAGTATGCTTTTTCAGATGACAGATGATGCATGCTTTTATGGGGGATTGTTCCCAATTCTGATACGCTACTTATGTCTACCCTTGGACTCACTAATATAGTAACCAGGTTTTTAATTTTAAAGATAAGAAAACTGGCCAGGAGCAGTGGCTCACACCCATGATCCCAACACTTTGGGAGACCAAGGCAGGAGGATTGCTTGAACTCAGAAGTTTGAAACCAGCCTGAGCAACATAGTGAGACCCTGTCACTACAAAAAAACATTTAAAGATTAATTGGACATGGTGGTGCATGCCTGTGGTCCCAGCTACTCTGGAGACTGAAGTGGGAGAATCACTTGAGCCTGGGAGGTCAAGACTGCTGTGAACCATAATCAGGCCACTGCACTCCAGCCTGGGTGATAGAGCAAGACCCTGTCTCAAAAAATATAAAACTAAATAAACAAAGATGAGAAAACTAAGGCCCAGAGATGCTAGAATGCCAGAGGCCTGGGATTTGAGCTCATGAGGGCAATTAGTGCCATGGTTGGAGCTAGATTAAAGGGCTTTGTAAGGTCAAGGCAGGAAGATTGCTTGAGCTCAGGAGTTCAAGACCAGCCTGGGTAACATGGTGAGACCCTGTCTCTACCAAAAATACAAAAATTAGCTGGGCATCATGGCACCTGTGGTTGCAGCTACTTTGGAGGCTCTGGTGGGAGGATCACTTGAGCCAAGGAGGCAGAGGTTGCAGTGAACCAAGACTGCACCACTGCACTC